GGCCCCCGGGGCGGCGAGGGCAAGAAGGAGCCGCGACCCCGCCAACTTTGGAATCGGCCGAGCAGGCCTGGTGCTGCGGGTTACGTGCCAAGAAGTCCGGGTCCTCCGACGATCCCCTCCCCCACCTCAGCCCGCGGGGACACACGGACTTCGTGTCTCTCTCCATCTGGGGAAACTCATTCCTTTGGCTTGAGAGTCGGCCTGCCTCTGCGAGGCTTCTTTTCATTGCAGGTTATCCTGAGAGTGGTGGGCATGAGGGCCTCGGGGGAATGAGTAAATCTGATGCTTTTATTTTTGGTAGAATCAGGCGTGGAAATGTGGAGAAATAGAAGATAGAACTCCCAAGTTTTATGCTGGGCAGCCTTCGGGTAAGGAGTGTAGATTCCAGAGCTGGAGGGAGAGCCCCACCTGCTGTCCTAGCCCGGGCACAGTTTGGGCTGAGTTGTGTGTGGGCTGTGAAGATGCCAGGAAATTCTCATGATGATACCAGCAGGGAGTTGCTGCAAGTTGTTCTGGGTGGACACCTGGAGCCAGTTCTGCAATTGTGTCTCATGAGCTTTGGCCAGCCTCATGCAGCCACGGATGGGGCAGTTTGTGGAGAGGTACAGGAGATGCTGTGCGGGGACCCTGGCATCATTTGTACCCCACAATCATCTTGGGAGAAGGAGAAGCCAGGAAAATTGGGCGTTGCTGGGCTGGTACAATCTCCTTTGCAGCTCTGGTTGTACAGTTAAGCAGCCCAAGGACACCCTGGCTCAGACATCCACACACCCCAGCAAGGGTGTCCATATACCACAGTTTCCTGTTCTGTAAAGTGAGGGGTTTGGACTACTGACCTTTCAGAGCTGATGTTCAGAGATGGGTGTATCCTAATGCCATGTAGCTTCATGGAGAAGGTAGCCAGGAATGACCTTGGTAAGTGGTAGGTTACAGTCACATGGAGAGGAGCAGAAAGGGCTCCAGTCTTTGTGACCAGTGTGACTCCCCAAAGCCCAGGTGGGGGCAGTGAGGGGCCCTGGGGCAGGGTCTGGTCTGGAAGCCCAAGTCCAAGGCACACTGGGAGAACAGATTTAAACTAGGAAGGACTGCAAGAGGTGGATGCATCCTGCGGGCACTGAAGTTGCAGTTTTTGTACTGGATGAAGATGGAAGGGTGTGATAGCAGGACCAACGTGACAGCAGTGAGCTAGGAGCCTGCCCAGTTACAAATCCTGGACCAGCCCAGAAAACTTTTTTCATTGGTTGTGGGAGAGAGGTGAAGTGGGGCCTGGGGAACAGGGTCTGGTCCGTGCGCATGGCAAGCCAGTGTTGGCTTTTCTTCTCCTGATGACAAGCATTATGGCCTGAGTTGCTCACTCCTTTACTTTTTCTGGACAGAGGAAGGCTACTGACTGAGGTGCCTGCCCTGGCCACAGTCAGTTCCCATTCTCACCTATAAGAACTTTGTCACAGAAGGATTTGTCTTGTGGGTGAGAGGCCTGGAAAGCATCTCTTACAGAAGTCTGGGAGAGCTGGATATATTCAGCCTGGAGCCAAAGAGGTACTGGAGGTCAGGAGCAGCTTGTGTGGAAGAGCTTGGGGTGGCAGGCTGTGACCTGCTGGTGGACCTGGTTGCTGTATTATGAATCATGGCACTTGATACATCCCAGCATTTGTTCTGGGCACTTTTCCTATGATAATTCGTTTCATCTTCACAACACTTCTGTGAGGTAGGTTGTTATGATCCCAATATTATAGGTGAGTTCACTGAGGCCCAAATAGGTTAACTAGTTTGGCTGAGGTTTCATAACTAATATGAAGCAAAGCTAAGATTGGTATCCTGGCAGCCTGGCTGGTTAAGCCTTGACCCCTATGCTCGGCCTCTGTCTGTACGTCCACAACTTCTTAGCAGCCATTTCAGGCCAGCAGTGGAACCAGCTCTATAGACAGTATCATGTTCTTCCCTAGAGCCCAGACCTGCCCTGCCAGCTCTGTGTTGACCTACCACAAGGTAGAGGGAAAATGAGCTTGCAAGGCCATCTCGACTTGTCTCTTCTTACTGGCCTTCTGGGAGTGTGTTTGGGGAAAAATCTTGGTTTGTAGGTGCACTCCAGGTTATACTCCTCAGGAGAATAGATGTATACTTCCAAACTCACAAAGAACAGAATATGCCAATTCCTTAATTTACCATGGAAAGTAAAAAAGTAAACTCCTTTTGAACTTAGTGCTTGTGTGCTACAGGGTCTTTGTGAAGATGTACTGCATGGCCTGTTAATAAATGTCACAGGTCATAACAATGGGGATAACCATAGCTGGCCAGGGCAGAGTGGCCTTGTGGAGAGGTGGGGCTTGAAGTTCAGGCAAGACCTGGAAAGTGAGGGCAGGCTCAGCCCAGCGAATGCCTGGAGTCCAGCCTGGCCAGCCAGAAGGACTATAAAAGAGCTGTGGCTGTGGAATGGGAGTCTGAAGGTCAAGGGTCATAGATATAGACCAGAGCCCTGTGCGTTATCTTTGTTCACCGTCTTCCTGGCTGTCTATCTGTCCTAGTGAGAGATGGTCTGTCTTCTCTAGATGTAAGACTGTTTGAGATTTTTGTTGCCATTCTCCTTTCACCTTACTTTCTTTTGGGGTCGTGCTTGGAGGAATGACATAACTATGCTTGCTTGATTCTAGACAGTTGTATCATCCCTGCTGAAAAGTATGCCATATTTTTTGTCATAGTTGGTTTTATTTGTGAACCTTTTTTTGTTATGCCACAATGCTAGGGTCCCAGGTTGTTGAATATTCAAAGGGGAGTTTGCTTATTAACACAAATTACTCTTTAATATGGTAAATATAGAGCTAACGGCTTGACTTTTGCTTGGCCTAGTAGCTGCAGGGCATGAGACTGTTGTATTAGTTTCCTGTGGCTGCCATAACATAGCACACACACAACACATGGCTTAAAACAATAGAAATTTATTCTCTCACAGTTCCAGAGGCCACAAGTCCCAAATCAAGGTGTTGGCAGGGCCATGCTCCCTCTGAAGGATCCTTCCTGCCTCTTTCAGTTTCTGGAGCCCCAGGCAGTCCTTGACTTGTGGCTGCATTAATTCAATCTCTGCTTCCGTCTCTATACAGACTTCTCCCTGTGTGTCTGTTGTCTTGTCTCTTCCTAGAAGGACACTGGTCGTACTGGATTAAGGGACTCCCTACTTATGAATGTGACCTCATCTTAACTAGTCACATCTGTAGTCACCCTGTTTCCAGTAAGGTCCCATTCATAGATATGGGACTAGGACTTCAGCCTGTCTTCTTGAGGACACAGCTTGACCCCCAACACTGTCTCTTGAGCAGATTCCTGCTTCTCCTATGTGTCAGGCCCCCACCCCAGGCTCTCGCTGCCTATCCTGCTCCTCAGTGTGTACCTGGTGTTATTACCGCACTGTGAGTAAGGAGTCGCCCACACACTGAGAGTCAAAATTTTGAGTCCTTTATTGCTGGCAGTCAAGAGCAGGCTCATGCCAGAAAGAAACTCTCAACCCCTACTGAAACAAGCAAGGAATTTATATAGCAAAAAAACCCATAAAGTTACAGAGTTTTGGTTCTGGGTAGGGAACAAAGGAGATTTTTCAAGGTATAGGTCATTAAACCGCAGGGGGGGAGTATAAATTACATATGTGACAGAACTTTTTCAGGAATGTTATTGCCCTCCAGGGGAGGGAAAGGAAAAGCCATAAATCACAGGACATGATTTATGGCCTACTGGAAAGATTAGGGCAATCTCACAGAGGAGGGTTGAGAGGGGGAACTGGAAGACAAAATGGAAGAACTACTACAAAATGGAGTTAGTCACCTTGGTTAGGTCACTAACAGCCATTTCACTGGAAATACAGGTGGGGTCACCGAGGGGAGGGGTGGACCTTGCTGGGAAGGAACAACCAACACCCCCGGAGACTGTGCCCACAGGTGCCCATCACCTTCAAGGATTTGGCTGTGCGGTTCTCAGAGGAGGAGTGGCGGCTTCTGGAGGAAGAGCAGAGGGAATTCTACCGAGACGTGATGCGGGAGAACTACGAGACACTGGTGTCTGTGGGTGAGGACCTGCCTGGCCTGGAGGATGGGAGGTGGCAGCACATGTGGCAGGAGATGGTATGGAAGGTGAAGGGAAGCCAGAGTCGAGTACCTGGGATCCCAAGTTTCTATGGGACCCCAGGATCCGGTGGCCTTAGTCTTTGCAGCTATGAAATGAGCACAGTTTTGGATAACACCCTGGGTGCTCAAGACTGATCCAAGCCCTGCTTGGTCTTTCACACTTTGTTTCTGTGTCCCATGATGAGGTTCCAGCTATGATTTGTGCGAGTGTGCAGTGGCCTCTGAGGTTCTGACCATCCTGTGGTTCTTTTGAGTTTAAGTGATCTCAAGAATGTGCACATAAACATATGCACAGATGTGCTGGCTCCTGGGCCATGTGTGACTGTGGGAGGGTAGAGGGTGACTCTCCCCTCTTTTTCCAGGGCGACTTTCCCCTCTTTTCTTCCTAGGGACAGCTGAACTGCTTCCCCTCTCTGCTTTCCTGTCACCCATGGAACCTGGAGGAGCCATCAGGGGAAGGAGCTGCACTGATGAGAGGCAGGAACCTGCTGGTGGGGGAGGCCCCCAGGGTGAGTCATCTCAGCAGACTTTGGGCTTCCCCTTCTCAGCCCCCAGGCTCTACTCCTTGGGTGATACGGTGACCTCAATGGCTCAGCCCTCCCCACCCTGCCACAGTCCCCTACCTCAACCCTCTCTGACTTTCACCCATTACCCCTCTGGACTGGTAGCCTGTTGCACAAAGAAGTGCTCAGAGGAAACTTGGGGTCAACCTGAAAAGCACCCCCTGCCTCAGGCCCCCCTCCTGCTACCACCCTAAAGCCTTATCCCAGCCACCACTGCAGAACCAGCTTGTAGCTCCCAAAAGTCCTGCCACAAAGCTGGCATCTGAGGGCTCAGGTGGCAGATGTACTCCACCGGGCTTGGACTGGATGACACCAGGCACTTAGGGGGTGCCAGGAAAGGCATAGGACCCTGATGGAAGGAGGGGAGCATGGAGACAGCCCTCCTTGGCATTTTCCTGGAAAGGAAGGAGACTAAGGAGTAACAGAGTACAGAAGAGCCCTGTTACCCAAGCCACCACGCCCTGCCCAGCTGTTCCCATGGACACAGTTCTTGGCCTGATCCCAAGTCTTCTGTATCTCATGGGACATAGATCTCTCCTCTGACTGCTACTCCTATGGTTGGGGGTATTACTTGAGGCACTGGGAATGAAACACGCACAAAAGCATGAATGCTGAGCAGACACAGGAGTGGGGGGCCTCTCCACAGGAGGACAGCCTGGGCACAGCCTGCACCTCACCGCCCTGGTGCAGCTGGTGAAAGAGATCCCGGAGTTCTTGTTTGGGGAAGTCAAGGGCATTGTGGACAGCCCCAAGAGTGAGAGCGGGGAAGCCAGCCTGGATGGAGAGAGAGCAAGCCCCGAAGGTAAGTGAGACAGCAGCAGGCCTCTGCAGTGCACACAGACTTCTCTGGACTCCCCAGAGTGATGTGCAAGTCCACAGCACTGCACAGTGTGCCTGCCGGATCCCAGGCATGTGCAGGGAGGCAATCACACACAGTTCCTGATGCCCCAGACTGTGTGCCCACCCTCTGAGTGCGTAGGACATAGTTGGTGAAAGGCAGTCCTGACTTTGCCTTGGTGGTTTCTGTGTGACTTTAGCCACCCTCTTTGGCCCTCCAGGGCCCTGCATGGTAGGCAAGAGCAATGTGTATGTCACTGTTTTGCAGATGAGGAAGAGAGGAATCTGTGCTGTGTTGGAGTGGCCAGTGGGGATCCAGGTTCCCTTCCCAGGCCTGTGTTCTTTCCCCCTCACCAAACTGTCTTTCCTTTCCCCAGTGTGTCCTCACCTGTTTTCTCAGCTCAGTTCCCACCTCTCAGTGGAGTCTCTCCCCTCCAGCCCTGCTCAGTTGATGGTGAATGAAATAGGGCAGGAAGTAGAGGATGGCCCAGGGTTGTTGGGGATATGCTTCTTCTTGGTATTTTATCAGGACACAACCATGGCTCGAAATCCAAATTTCAGAGCTCAGTGTTGACAGTGCCTAGGTTACTGACATCCTGGTCATTGTTAGGAACATGGCAACAATGTCAGAGGCATTTTAACAGTTGGCATCTTCCTCTTCTTCCTTGACAGCAGCTGTGGCAGGGGAGCCTTGCCCTCTCCAAGGCCTGCTCACCTGCGTTCCAGATGTCCCTGTCAGCCAGCCCAGCCTGGCCACCACACCCGCCAGCAGCTCATGCTCCAGCGGCCCACCTAGAGATGGTGGTCAAAGAAGCTCCCTCCTCATCAGTGAGTCTAAGCCCACGAGGACAGGGAGAACCAGCATTTCAAGAGCTCTGACCTGGAAGTCAGGGGACTTGAACCCCAGGCCCTCTTCATTTTTCTAGGACTTAGTTTCCTTTGTTGCTAAATGAGGATGAAGCACCTCAGGGAGCAGAACAACACACTTGGCCTCTGGTTTAAAGACCAAAGAGGTAGCCGGGCTCGGTAGCTCAGCCTGTAATCCCACGCCTTTGGGAGGCTGAGATGAGTGGATTGCCTGAGCCCGCGGGTTCGAGACCCACCTGGGCAACATGGTGAGACCTCATCTCTACAATAAATCAAAAATTAGCCAGGCGTGGTAGCGCACGCCTGTAGTTCCAGCTACTTGGAAGCTGAGGTGGAAGGATCGCTGGAGCCCAGCAAGTCAAGGTGGCCGGGAGCGGCCACTGCACTCCAGTCTGGGTGACAGAGTGAGACTCCAACTCAAAAAAAAATAAAAAAATAAAGACCAAAGAGGAGGCGTGATGCTCACCCCCTGGTAGCCTCTCACCCAACCCTGACTGCTGAGTGCTGTATGTACACGCCCAGAAAGCCTCAGGCAATTTCTTAGGCCCATGGCAGGTAACATACCTGTGTGTACCTGTCTGATTCTCAGACCTTCTCATCAGTATAGAGGAGGGCAAAGGTAGCCACTAGGATTTCTCAGGGGTCTCATTTTATTTTTTAAAATTCTTGCAAATTGTATTTATTTAAATATCTGTTTTTATTTTAAAATATTTCAAATTAATGAAATTGGCACTCCCAAAAAACATACCCCATTTAGCTGTGGTTTTATCTGGTATTCAGGCGTCATCTGGCACATTTGTTCTGGGGTTCCATGTGTCCTGGTTTGAGAAGCATGAGTGTAAAATTGTGGCTTATATGTTGATGCTGTCAGCCTCACTTGCTGAGCCAAATTTGGAGACTGGGGTCAGGGGAAGGGTCCAGGAGTATTCAGAGTGGACAGTCTTGATATTTACAGTTAAATCAAAAGGAAACAGGGAAAGGTCCCCAGCCATCCTGGAGCAGGTCCTCCAGAAGCTGGCCCCGCTGCAAGTCCAAGTTCCCAGGGACTTGGGGAGCTAGAGAGGGCTGTCCTCTAGGGTAAAATCTCCCGAGTCTGGAGCCAGGGCTAGAAAGGCCTTCCTTGTTTACTCCTGTAATAGACGCTGCTGACAGGACATGGCTCCCAGGGGATGAAGGCTCGGGAGCCACAGGTGGAGAGGCCAGCCCTCCCAGCTGTAGCCCCAGCACAAGGAAGAGTCACCGAAGACAAGAGAGAGGAGCTGCAAAAGCAGGTAAAAGGCTGGCTTTCCAGAGTGGGCCCACCCTGGCGTTGAGTGGGGTGGCTAGCAGGGCATGTGTTTAGTTCATGCTGGGAGATCATGTCACTCCCTTAACTGGGCCTTGTGACAGTCCTACAAAGCAAGCCTTGTTTCTGTTGTCTTAGGCGGGAATCTCAGCCACCTGGAGACCTGAGTGCCTGCTGAAGGTCTCTGGCTGCCCTGTTAGAATTGCCCTGACCTCAGCCAACCTTGTGTGTCCCACAGGAATCTCTCCTGGGAACAGCCCCTTGCAAGGCCTCATCAACTGTCTGAAAGAAATTCTTGTCCCTGGGCCCCAGCCCCCTCAGACATCCCTAAACTTCCTGCCTCCTCTCCCCGACCTGGGTGCGTCGAAGTTGACCCGAGTAGATTTGGGGCCTGGAAGCCCACCCTGGGCAGGTGAGTCCTGCGACCTGGTCTCCTCAGGCCAAAGTCCCCAAAGCCTCTAGAAAGCTTGAATAGCCTTTCTGTAGCGACTTCTACTGCTCTAAAAAGTCTCCCTTAAGGATCATTACTGACTTAGGTGCTCCTGTATTGCCTGTGTCAGAGTTCTGAGACAGATGGTTCTCTGAAGGACAGCAATTTTCTTAGTTAGAAAAAGAAAACTCAGAAGCTGGTTTCCTTTGTGTCCCTTACTCTTCCTCATGCGGGACTCTGAGGGGAAGAGCTCTCATGTCACTTCGTGCTGACACTGGGTGAGATGCCTGGGCTCTGGGCAGTGCCATGTGGGGCAGTGCACTGGAGTTGGAGTTGGACTCTGAAAGCCTGCTGATGCCTTTGAGCCTTGGTTTCCTCATCTGTAAAAGGGGGCAGCTGTTCCTACTCACGAAATTGTCAAGAGCTCAACTCCGATCATGTATTTAGTGTATGTATGTGTATGTGTGTGTTGGTAAAAACCTTGATCCTTCTCAAATGTGAGCTCCTCTGAGAACCCAGAGAACTGTCTGTGAGTAGCAACTTCATCAGCCCACTTCCCTCAGTTTGTACTCAGAGTGATGCCATGTGTTTGCCTTTAGTGTGACTTTCACATCTTCTTTCCTCTTTGTCCAGTTCTGGCTGTTGTGTAGACAGGCATTTGCAAACCAGGAACCAGGAAGACATTGGCTCATATAAGACTATGAGTCATAAGAAGACCCACATCTCCAGATTTTTGGCTGTCTGCCCTTTTAACTTCACACCTGGATTGTCCTTATTTGTTGTTTGTCATGATGGCTAAGGACACTGGGCTCCAGGTGAAACATGTTCATTTTTCCTTTAGTGAAGACAGAGGCAACATCAGGGGACTGTCCCCTGCAGGGTCTGCTGAACTGCCTGAAGGAGATCCCAGAGGCCCAGGACAGGCCCAGCCCTTCAGGAGTCGGGGACCCACGACTGCAGGAGGATCCAGGGACCTGGAAAAGGAATCCTGGAGGTAAAGGCCGCTCGCTGGGCTGGGAGAGCCCACAGACATCTTCTGCTTCCTTGCCTTGCCCCAGGCAGGGCTGTAGGTGGCCCTTCACCCAAACACTCAGGCCTCCACATTGGCTTGTTGGCCAGAGGAGACAGATGTGACAGATCATCTGTGTAAGTGGAGTGAGGCATGTAGGGGGTGCTTACTCAGCACTTGATAATTTTCCAGACTGACTCTTATAGGAGGAGCTGAATGTTCTAGAAGGAAGGAAGGGCTGTTTGGGAGGGAGAGAGACCAAGAAATAGAAGATAGAGTTCCAACCCAGTAGACACTCAGGGTATAATTATGATTTGAGGTCGTGTGTGGTCAGGCTGGGATCACATTTCTGTGTGGGTCAACTCAGCAGTACTTCTCAGCTTCTCAGAACAAAACCTTGAAAGATCATGTTGAGCCAGGAATGCTGGACATGGACAAAGGTCTCATTGGTGCTGACTGGGGAGGGTTGATTCAATGCCTGGGCAGAAATCTCCAGAAGTGCCCTGGGGGCCCTGGGGCAAAAGGAGGAGTGTGGTCCGGGTCTGTCTGCTGGTGCTTGAGGAGTGATTGTGCCCGGAGCCAGTGACTGCCATGGAGGCAGAGGAGCCTTGAAAGCCCCTCCTAATGACTGTGGAGTGAATCCAGGCCTGAAGCCTGAGCTTCCCAGTGGCCTATTCCCACAGGGCCTGGACATCTCCTGACCCCGCCCCCCTGCCCTGGTCCTGGAGCAGGTGACATGCTGTCTGTGAAGATGGAGGATACCTGGGCCCAGAGTCCCCCAGTGCCTGCATCCTGTCAGCCCAGCAGGCAGATCCTTAGCCCCTTTGTCAACAGAGACACCAGAGGGTTCCCAGGGCCCAGCTGGGGGCCCCATGCTCAAGGTGAGCCCTGTGGTCATTTGTTCCAGTGTTCTCCCCAGGGCGGTTCTCAGACCCCAGCAAGGTTCCTCCATCCCTAGGGAAGCATCTCTCAACAAGGATACCACTCCTGGCCATTCTTCCCGTAGAGTGAATCCCTTTGTTCATATCCTTCTCAACTTAAGCCTTTGCCTGGGCTTACCTCTGTTTCAGGGCCTTCATTTTGTAGATTCCTGGCCCAGAAAGATGGCCACTGCTGACATGTGAATCTCCCCATCCCCTCTCCTCCCCCCAAGTTTTCTTCATTTCTTCTGGGGGCCGAAAGCAGATTAGAAATATCCCACAGCAGAAGGGTTTCCTGCCTGGTAGGCCCCCACAGCCTGGTGCAGGACTTTCACCCTGCAGAAAGCAGCCTGGAGACCAAGCTGGGGCTGTGGGCAGGTCTGGGACATCCATGACAGGGTGATCTCTCCTGTCCCAGCCACCAGTGCCTCGAGCTCACCCCTGGAAGCCCTGGAGGCCTGTCTAAAGGGCATTCCCCCGAGTGGGTCATTACCTCCTCAGCTGCCAGCCACCTCTTGGTCCCGGAACCCCCAGCCAGCAGACCACAGATTCCAGAGGCCTGAGCTGCGGCACCATGGATCACACAGTGAAGGTAGACTATGGCCATGGGTGGTGGTGGTGTTTGTCCCTGTGCACTGCAACCAAGGGAGACAGTGAGGATACTGTTAGATTATCTTTCCCAGCTTCCTTTTCATATCCAACCCCAAATATCTCCCCACATTTGGTGAAAGCCACTTAAAATCTTCTTGCCCTACTTCCTTTTCTTAGACCTGTTATTCTCTTATCACATGAGACTGACTGTGGGTTTATGTGGGCTAGCATGCTATGGGATTTTAATCCACGCCCAGTGGGAAATACTTTGAGATAGGGTCTTCTGGTGCCCATTCACCCCAGGGCTTGGGGACCTTTCTCCAGTGGACCTTCCTGTGACCCCAACTGTGCTGTTCCCTGCAGAGGCGACCAAGGAGCCTCTTCTGCCTCTGGGCCTGCAGGGCTGTGTGAAAGATGGCCCCACCCGACCCCAAGGTACCCCCACAAGCTTCTCTTCATCCAGCAGCATTGATGGGGACCTGGATTTCGGGAGCCCTTTGGGGAGCCAGGGGCAGCGACCCCAAAAAGGTGAGTTGGGCCAGCCTACGGCTAGGCGTTCATCGTGGGAGCGAACATAGGGCCCCCTTGCCCACCTTTGTGCCTGGCCCAAGTGAGGCTGCAGTGCCAGTACCACAAGCAGAGCTGAGGATACAGAGGCTAGAACAGATGCATGGCTTGTCTTGGGCAGGTTAGGGAGGTGGGGTGGAGAAGGAGTTCCATTTTAGTGACTTGGCTCAGAAGGGTCAGAACGATGTCTAAGATTTCTTTTAAAAAATCTCCTTTTGGGATAGGCATGGTAGCTCACACCTATAATCCCTGCACTTTGGGAGGCCAAGGTGGGAGGATCGCTTGAGCCCGGGAGTTCAAGACCAGCCTGGGTGACATAGCAAGACCTATCTCTACAAAAAAAGTTTTAAAAAAATTAGCTGGGCATGGTAGGCCTACTACTCCTGTAGGCCCAACTACTGGGGAGGCTGAGGCAGGAGGCTTGCTTGAGCCCAGGAATTCGAGGCTACGGTGAGCCATGATTATGCCATTGCACTCCAGCCTGGGCAACAGAGTGAGACCCTGACAAAAAAAAAAAAGAAGAAGAAAAAATCTTTTGCATTAAATTCTTTTTTATCCCAACCACCAAAAAAGTTCCTATAATGTCAAGCTGTCCTCCAACTTAGGAAACTATGTAGTGAGATTCGTACCAAACCATCTTGAGAGTATGCTTGGTAACCTGGGTCCTGGGACCTTGAGGATCTTGCAGAACTTTCCAGCATCCTCTTTGGCCTTCTTTTTCCCTCTGCCTGATTCAGAACCTCTTGGTCTTTCATTGTCTTGCGGACACTGGGTCCCTCCATGCTCATCTCTGTGTCCTGGCCACATCTGTTGTTAGTGGACAGGCCTTGCACTGCAGCTGCGGGGGGGGGGGTATCTCCGCATCTCTACCTTGCCTTTGTCCTGAATCTTTGTCTCTGAAATCTTTCTACATTTTGTCTTAACAGTTCTTGGCCACTAGCACTCTTCCTTTTTTTTTTTTTTTTAAACAGAGACATAGTATTCTATAGTGCCCTTCTTTTTCATGTATCCTGTATGCGTGGACATTGCTTGCTAAGTAATTCAAACTGTAGGAGGTGGCACACTGCCTTTTAAACGTTTCCAGCCCAGTGCCCAGCTCCCTCTGTTGCCCCAGAACTCAGCGTTTGTCTTGTGGGGAAAAGCACATTTGGAGATCCTCTATCTTATACTCTGCCTTCCAGCCCCACAGACAGGCAGAAGTTCTGAAGGTTGCTCTCTTCATGCCCTGGGCCTGGCCCAGGATTGTCAGCAAACGCCTTCAGGAAAGAGGATGGCTGACACTGGCCGCTCCCCTAGGAAGGGCTGTTCTCACTCTAGAGTTTTGGTCCATCTCGCTCCTGTTGCTCGCACAGCTCTTTGTCACTAGAAATACAACTTTGCTGTGCATTTGTTTCTTTCCTCATTGAAACTGCATGCATGTTGGTCTGCTGTGGTCCACTACATTATACCCAGAGGCAAGGGAGCCTGTGTTATCTGCTTTGAGTGGTGAAGGAAGTACATCCGATCTCTAGGACCATCCTGTGTGCTGGGTGGCAGCACCTCCCAGTGGTGGCAGCTGAGTGTGCTAAGGGAGCCTGGAACCCATGTCTGTGACCCATCCTGCTCATGAAAGCCCTGGGCCGGACTTCTGTGTAGTCAGGACAGGTTAGGCTTCTTCTGGGGAAGCCTGAGAAGGGCCACTCCAGAGCTGGGACTAACAGATGTTTGAGGCCAAGTCTCCGGGACCCTGAGCTACCATGATGCATCAGTGGTCTGTTTCCCCTCTCATGGTCCCCGATGCCCTGGACACAGCAGAAGAGATGAATCTCCTGGGGTTTGTAGAGACTGAGCTACAATCCGCCTCATCTGTGGATGTTTGACCTTCACAGGAAGCCCACCAGGAAGCTCCCCACTCCAAGGTTTAGAGAACTGTCTCAGAGAGATCCCTGTGCCCAGGCCACAGCCTGCCTTGTCCTGCTCCTCCTCCTCAGCAGCAGACCAAGGACCAAGGAGAGTGGAGCCTGGGACCTGGCCAGCAGACAAGGAAGGTAACGCAGTGGCTGCACGTGGGCCTGTGCGTAGTTCAGGGCAGCTTTGACACTGCCACCTGCACTGCCACTTGTGGGCTCAAAGCCACCCTGAGCTGAGGTGTTTCTCCAGGAGCAGGCCTGAACAGAGGCTTGTCAGAGGCTAGAAAGCCAGATAGGCTGATCAGCACACTTGGGCAGATTAGCTGGTGTCTGAGTGATGGGCAGAGCCAGGATGTGGACACCCTAGAGCCACTATGTATGGCTCCACCATCCAGGTCTAAGCCAGAGCCTTGTCAGCTGAGTGTCTTTATCCTGGCCATGTCAGCCCTGCCTGCCGTCAGGAGCCCACATAGCTGAGTCTTGAAATAAAGAGATGCTGGAGGATTCAGGCAGGCTCCCAGGGATGTCACAGAGCAGATGTTTCCCACACCTAAGGCTTGTGTGCCTGAAAGCCCAGAATGGCAGAAATTGTTCCCCTGTCCCTTCTTCTGTGCCAGCACAAGGCCCCATGGGGCTGACAGCCCTCTTGGCTTCTCATTAAACAGGGCCAAGAGGTGAAGCTCGTGAGCCCTCCCATCTCAGACAGGGTGGGAGAGAAATACCCACCAGGAGCCTCTATCTGGCCAGCCCCCAGGCCTTCACCTCCAGCTGTGTCCCTGCCTGCCACCAGCAGGGACTCAAAGACCCTGGGAATACCAGGCCAGGACCATGGAAGTGGCTCCAAAATGGTGAGCTGATGTCTGCCCTTGGTTTTGACTGGCATGTTTCCCAACAGCTAAAGTGTTTGACATGGATATAGATTCCCCTTCTCTCTCTGTGTTTCTTTGTTCCTTCCCTGCCTCACATTCCTTCCCCAAGAGGCTGAAGCTGGAGACCGACAGAAGCTGAGCTTGCTAAAAAGGAAGATTAAAGTGACTGAAAGTGCTGACAAGGAGTGAGGGCTGGGAAGAGCATTGTTTTGGTCCATCCCTTGGGTTTCTCCAGTGTAGAAGCTTCCTTGGGCTGTCAGAGGGTGGGGGAGGGTCTCCCTCTGTCTGCTGCTACTTGGTATAACTTCTAGCAGAATTCCTTTCTAGATCTGCTGCAGGGGCTGGTAGGAAGACTTAGCTGAGTAAATGTGGTGTTGCTAGCCCTCCTACCATACAAGGACTGGCCCTTGGATACCGGTCCCTGTGTGAGGCTGGGGTGGAAGGAGCCTATGAAAGTGGGCGAAGCTTACAAGACCCAGGCCTGGCTGGAACTTGACGGCTAGTGGCTTCCAGGGACTTAAGACTTCCAGAAAGTTCACCAGCTGTCTTTCTAGAGCTGCTGGGGTCCTGGCTGTGCTCTGGCTTTGCTTTTCTCCACCCTCCACAGCCAAAGAGTGAACTGTCCAGGGTCCTCCAAAGCTCATGTTGCATATAGGCTAAGCTGAAAGGGGACCAGTTCTGTGTGCCCTAGTCACTAAGACAAAGGCCTTCTGGCTGTCTTTGGGCTGATGGACACAGGGCTCTTTTGTCATCTGCTCAGGGCCAGCCACCAAGCCCTCCCCACTGCACTGTCTGGAGAACTCTCTGCGGGGGATCCTGCCCGTGAGGCCCTTGCGCTTCACCTGCTTAGCTGGCCCTAGCCCCAACCCCAGCCCTAGCTCCAGTTCAAGCTTCAGCAGCTCTGAAGGAGAAGACCTGAGACTGGAGCCTGAGATGTGGCGGCCGCTTCTCCAGGGTGAGCCTGTCAGGGAGAGGGAGGGTGGTGGACCGCACTCCTGGGCACCAGTCACACTGTGACACCAGCTTTGTTTGTAATGCCAGAGAGGAACCGCCTTCCCAGCTGCAAGCATCCTGTTCCTCTGTCCCCATGCCCTGATGGGCCTTCCACTGGCAGCAGTGGCAGTAGCCCTGGTGAAGACCCCAGTAAAACAGAGCCCAGCAACTGCAGCAGTCTCTGTGCAGGTGAGCCTGGGGTCTGCTGAGAGGGCAACCGCGTATCCCCCAGAGGGCCAGGAGTCCAGACTGAATTCTCTGAGTCCCACCCATCACTTTGCCTGGCTCTCCCCAGAACATTCTCTACATTTGTCAGGCTTTAGTTCCAAGTAAGGTCTGCTGGGTCTGAGAGGGAAGGGGGGCTCTTGAGTTGCTGAGGTCCCAGAGGAGTGCTCGTGAGCAGCTGTAAGGAGAATGTCCAGGCCATCAACTTGATGATATATACACATTACATGTATATACATGTAGATACATCCAGGTATGGATGTATATATACAATAATAGTGTATATTTTTAAAAACTAGGCAAACAACACAAGTCTCAAAAGTAAGATTCCCCCACCTGGGAGGACTTCCTGGAGGTTGTCCCGTCAGGAAGGCAGGACATGCTGCCTGCTTCCCCAGGCCACCTTGCTTGTCCATTACACTGTGGCCCAGTGTTTGCTCCCACCTGGAAAGGCAGAAGAGGGGACAGGAGGTAGGTCCCAGTTGCCCAGGAGGGAAGAGAATGCAGAGAGTACCAGTCAGACTGGCCCCCTTGATAGTGCTGGAGGAGGAAGAGGAAGAGGAGAAAGGGGTGGTGAAGGAGGAGAAGGAGGTCAGCACCAGGAAACATCAGAAGAAGGTGCTCCCTCTCCTACCACTGGCTCCATTCTCAGGCCTTGACCCTGGCCTTGTGCCGGTGCCGAGCTGTACCACATTCCTCACTGCTCAGTAGGCCTAGCAGAAGACAGCAGAGTGACCTGAGCATGGCCCATGGGACACCTCCATGTCCGTGGAGGAGTCTCACTGGGACAGGGCCCAATCAATGATCAGAGTCCTGTCTCCAGCTCCTCCCCTAGTGCAGCTGCAGAGGCCTCTCCAGGTACTCTTCCCCCTCCCCACAGCCTGGGCAGGTGCACCATGTATATGCACCAGAGTTAGGCTCCCTGCTAGACCAAGTGTGTCCATCTTGTGTCTCATTCTTGTTCAAAAGTTGAAAGTTTGATACTCTTAGGCCACATCAGAATGTCCCCTGTTAGTATAACTCTGACCACACAATATGTAACCCCATCCAAGCTCTCTGTGCTCTTTCTATAGGGGCAGTTGAGGACCCCTGCCCTGCCCCTGGTCTGGAGAGGACACCCAGGCCCAGCATTGGTGAAACATCTGGGGGCCTAGAGCCTGGACACGGAAGACCTAGAGTTGCAGGTGAACTGGTGGCTCCCCTGTCCCCTCTGCAAGGGCTGGGACCCATGGTCCCACTTTGGGGAAATACCCTTCCAGATTCATTGTGTGGGTCATGAGCAGGAAAGTTCTCACCTTTAAGCCACTTCAGGTTGCATATTTTATTTCAGTCGCTTTATTACAGAAATAGCAGGAATTTTCATAAAGGCACACACAGACCTACCTTTTAGGGGCAGACGTTGAAAAGTGTTCCACAATCAAAGTTTGGGACTTGAAGGGACTTGAGAAAATAGATGAGGAAACTGAGGTCCAGTACTGTTGAGTGGCCGGACAGGTTCATCCAGAGAGATTTGGCTCCACGTCACACTACCTGAGGACCCACGTGGAAACACACAGGAGGGCTGGCACCTGGTGCCCTGGGTAACTCAGGGACAGCCTCACACCAAGGACTTGAAGGTTGGCCTGCGGTGGGGTTCCCTTGCGGGCTTGGTGCTTTGGCTCCTCTCCAGGCGCCGTAATTTTGTTAAGAGCTCTGAGCTGCCCAAGGTGACTAAACTTTGTCTTTCCCTCACTTGAATTCCTGGGCTGGGATCTCCAACCTTCAGCCTAGATCCTTGTTAAATAACTTAACTACAGTGCTTGGGTCTTTTGGCCACTCAGACCTTCACTTTTCTTCAATTCAAAGCCCTGGCAGTGCTGAAAAGAGAAGGGCAGAGTCTGGGGCTGGTGAGGGACAGGATTCATAGAAACAGAGAAGAGTCCATCTCTGTGCCCAGCCCAAGGCTGAGCAGGTTAGGAATGGCAGGTGCCTGGCCAAGGCTTTCCCATGAGTTTGCCTGGGGCTAAGACCAGTTCCAAGGGAACTTGGGGTGAAAGATTAGGTGATCGTTTCAAAAAGTAACTTACGACTTAAAGTCCTGTGAATCTTTAGCTTCTGAATAGGGAGAGAAAAGACAGGAGAGAGTGGGAACCCTTGTGGTTTGCCTATGACCAAGAACGGAGTGTGGAAGTAGCTCCAGGCTGACCCCTTGAGAATTGTCCAGGAAGTCCTCAGCTAGACGGGCCCCCTGCCTTTCTCTGTGATGCTCCCCTGTCCTTGGCCTCACACTGACTCTTAGGGCAGGGCTATCACTTGATCTCATCGGCAGTACACAAAACATACTGACTCTTTTCCTAGAAAGTAGGAAGACTGCAGTCTAGGAAAGCTGGGTTACCATGGAAACCAACCTGTAGTTGATCCTGCCCATCAGTTTGGGGAAAACCAGGAGATGTAGCCAGTTTTGATGTAATAAGCATCGGCGTCAGTATTCTCAAGCCTGAGTCACCTTCCTTTTCTTCTAGAACCTTGGGGGTGGGGCAGGATGCTGGACACACCAGTTCAAGGGACCTTCTGAGGGGAGAAAAAGGTCCTAACAACCCAAGAATTCTTACCCAGTCCCTGCTCTGGTTTTAGCCAGGACCCATGGGAGGCTGCTCCCCAAGGGCCTGCCTGAGCCACCCAGCAAGTCTCCACCACCAGAGCTTCCCCCGCCAGCAGCTGTGTCTCTCACCGTGCCAACCACCTCCCTGAAGCCACCGTGCCCCTGTGGGAAGCCCCTGCAGCAGGAGCTGCACAGCCTTGGTGCTGCCCTGGCGGAGAAGCTGGACCAGCTTGCCACGGCCCTGGCAGGCCTGGCTCAGGAAGTGGCCACTATGAGGACCCAGGTGAATAGGCTGGGTAGGCATCCTCGAGGCCCTAGGCCAAAGAGCCCAGCTTCCTGGACATATACCCTTCCACGGAGACCTCACTGGGCTAACGGCTCTGGTCACAGACACCTGCCTTACTGGAGACAGAAGGGCCCCCCCAGGCCTAAACCAAAGATCCTGCGGGGCCCTGTGGAAGGCTGTAGGGCTGGTGACTTCCCAGGACTCTCCCGAGGAAGGGGCCACCTGGTGCCTCTGCTGCCTCCAGATGTTCCCCCGACAGAACCTTCCCAGCAACCTCTCTCCTCAGCACCCAGCTGCCATGCTGTGCTGACTACACACCTACCCCTCGGACACACTGGGGGCCACCAGAACCCCCTTCCCCCTTTAATGCCTGCTGCCTTACCCCCCCAAATGGCCTCATCTCCTGTAGCCAGTAGGAATGCAGAACTGCCAGCTGCAGAAGTGGCACCAGCTGGAACCACAGGCCAGCCCAAGGAGCCGAACAGCCTGTTGGGGGGAGTCCAGAGAGCCCTCCAGGAGGAACTCTGGGGTGGGGAACACAGGGACCCGAGGTGGGGGACCCATTAATCGATTCCTCATCCACTCAGCCTTTCCAAGGCGCAGGAGTGGGCTGGATGCCCCCACCATCTCGCCCCAGGCCACCCTCTTCCAGGGGTACCATCTTTCTGCACACCTGTTTTGTTGACCTTTCCCATTGCTGGGAGCCCTGCCCTTTGCCCTAACTGCAGACACCCCCCCACCCCCCGTTTGTTCAGATGGCCATTGGGTGGGGGGATGCATTCCTAGCCTCTGGCTTTCTTGGCTCAGGTTCAATCAAATGTTGCTTCCCCCTCCTGTCCTTCACCGGAGCTGCCCAAGCTTGCAGATGGGTGATGTGCACATGTGCACAGGGTGCCCTGTGCAGCCACAGAGTGGTCACAAGGGCACTTCTTTCTAACTACCTGCTGCTTCTGGTCTCAGCACCATGAAGGGCTGGGCTCTTGTCTTCCTGGAATCAATATTGGCACAGATTTCAGGTGAAAAGAACTCTGCTCCTTGGTCTAAGTTAGACTTACCCATGTGAGTTCATTCTAAAATTAAAGCAGCGAGTTGCTAAGGCAGGCCACAGTGCCTATCAAAAGCAGCTGGGGTTGGAGGAGCTCCCCTGGGGTGTGACTGGTTGTGCCACTGGTACAGTGGGGGTGATTATTAGGTCTATGCTGCCTCCCCTCCCAGACATCCTTGAGAAAATTCAACAATGTACTATGAAGGTTGGCGGAAGACAGGCTGGGTGGGAATTCTACATGGCTCCTGGGGAAGGCTGCACATGCCGAGTCTCCTGGGCTGCCATACAAAGGAGCCCCGCCTGGGCAGCTTCAACAACAGCACCCACTGTCTCAGTTCTGGTTAGAAGTCCAGATGTTATCAAGGTCAGTTCCTTCTGCAGGCTAAGCAGGAGGGATTTGCTTCAGGCCGTTGTCCTGGGCCGTGGGTGGCAGTCCTTATGTCCACAAAGCATCTTCTATGCATGTCTCCAGATTTACTCTTGGTATCAGGACATCAGTTGTACTGGATCGTGGCCCACCCAAATGAATTCATTTTAGCTTGATAACCTCTCTGAAGACCCCCTCCCCAAGCAAGGTCACATTCTGAGATACTAGGGGTTAGGACTTCATCATGTAAATTTGGGGAGAGGCATAGTTCAGCCCATAACACACATAAGAGGCTGGGCCAATTGGGTTTGTGTTGGGAAAAGATCCTACTTCTGCTGACCAGAATGCACCTGCCCCCAGCCCCCTCAGCTAACGCTTAGTGTTACATTGGAACCAGCCTGCCTGTTGTTTCCTCACCTTATTGCCTTCCCAGAAACAGTCCAACCTTGTGTTCCCCCTGAGTCCCTTATTTAATCAGAGGAGTCTTCAGGGACTGTGTGTGCACATGTTGCTTAGAAGGGCCAGCACAGTTAGCCCTGTCCTCAGGGCCTTGGGGACCTGGGATGCCAGTGCTATGCCTTGTGGCTACTGTGCCTGTGTGTCCCTAAAGTCAGGGTCACTGGTGACACAAGGCCTGGTAACCCCCAGCTGAGCGAGGGCCAGGCAGCCTTGCCCGTGAGCTCGGAGGAGCTAAAGACAGCCTTGCTCTTGGCTGCCCTGTGGAAAGAGCAGGCTGTTGATGTGGAGCAAGGGGGAGTGGCTGGAGACTGACAGACTGCCACAGTGGGGGTGCTGAGATGTCTTCGTGGTAGATTAAGTCCCAAGATGACTGTCTAGAAACTAATATAAAATCGCGTATGTAGGGTGTTGTTTAAAATAAGCAGGCTCTTCACTCATAGCCATAGTTGGTACAGAATAGAGAACAGAGAAGTTCTGGGCGCTCCCCTCCCAAGAACTCTCCTGTTGAAGTGCAAGGAGCAGAGCTGGTCACACTTCAGAACCAGATAGAAGCGGTGGGACACAGACTTCTGGAAGAGTTGAGAAGGGAAACTGCCTGTGTAGTGACCATAAGAGTTTTGTCTGGCCCTGCCTCGGCCTTCCCTGCACCCATCCTGCCTGGCTGTCCTCCCATTTTCTCTCCTTTCCCTTCTAAGCAGGCAAGTGTGGTGTGGGGCTCTGTGGGAAGTGAGCCACCACATAACCTGTGTGGGGCATTCAGGTGGTTTTGCTTTGGTGGTTTCACAAATGGCTGTTGCACAAACCATATTCATTGGGCACAGAAGAACACATGAGTTTGGCTATAACTCACAGTTGTGTAGCTTTCAACTGGCAGAGCTGGGTAGAGCTGGAACCCTCGGCAGGGCTGCCTGATGCTCCTGTCATATGCTGGGCACAGCTGCCTCCTCCCAGCCTTTACCTTCTGTGACAGACAGTATCCAGGACTGAGCCGGTTCTAGATGGTCCACGTCCAATTGAACCGTATAAGTTCAAAGTTTTTTAAGAATGTGGAATATAAGTAATAAAATGAACAGTAAGAAGTTCCAAGGTCTACAGTTACGTTCATCCTGCAAAAGTAGGTCCCTGGGTCTCTAGGTCCTGTCCACTGCCGCGGTTGTTTACTGAAAAGCCTTCTAGAATCAAAGATCTGGTGAAAAAGTCTATATGCAGTTTAGGTCTTTGGTGCTGTGTCCATCTCCTTCAACTCCTGTCCAGGGTAGTTTTGAGGAGGAAACACATGATCACTCTGGTGGGAGAAAGTAAAGGACCTTTTTGAACTCAAAGGAGTTCCAGGGTTCCAAGTTGGGGGCGGAGAAGGCTCCTGGTCTGCCTGCTGCCATCCTGGGTAGTGGCCAGCGGCACTTGTATGTTAAAAAGGAATGACAGAATTCACAAGAAGATACAACTAGAACAGCAAAGGAAATCCAAAGAAGTTCTTTTTAAAGAAAAAAAGCATGTGAAGAACATAAATTACTGAAATAGCATACGTATAAAAGATATAGTCAACAAAACCAAAAATTGTTTCTTACCAAACAATTAAAATTGACTAGTCTGTGGTGGAACTCATTAATGGAAAAAAAGTACAAATAACCAGTTTTGGGAATGAAAAAGACATTACCACAGCTGCTATAGGTTATAGAAAGAAAAGATGATATTACAAGCAACTTTTTGCCAAAAATTTGAGAATTCAATGAAACTATAGAACTCTCACAAGAATACAACTTAAAACAGACTCAAAAAAAAAGAAAGCCTGAGCAGTCCCATACCACTGAAAAAAATTGCATCAATGATCAAACATCTTATAAAAGAAACTCTAGGCCCAGTAGGCCTCACTGGTAAGTTCTACCTCACATTTGAAGAGGAAATTATTTCATTGATACACAGATTTTTCTAAAAAACAGAAAAACATGGAACACTGACTCATTTTATTAGACTAGCATAACCTTGAAACCAAAACTTGAGGACAGTACAAAAGAAGCCAATCACAGACTAACCTCAAGAAATGTACACAGAAGAAAAATTCTCAACAAAATGTTAGCAGACAAGTCAGCAATATATAAAAAGTAAAACATCATGACCCAGTTTGGCTTATCTTTGAGATTCAAGAGTATTTTTGACATTTGAAAGTCACCAGTAGTAACCCAGCACATGATTAAAGGAGAAACATCATGTGATCATCTCAATAGCTGCAGAAAGAGCATCTGATAAGAGCTAGCACCCATCAAGATTCTAAGTAACTGGGGTGATGAAGGAAATTTCTTTTTTTCCTTTTTTTTTTTTTTTTTTTTTGAGTTGAAATTTCTGTCACCCAGGCTGGAATGCAGTGGCACACTCATGGCTGCCACAGCCTGGACCTTCTGGGCCCAGGTGAGCCTTCTGCCTCTGCCTTCCAAGTAGCTGGAACTACTGGTGTGCATCCCCACACCCAGCTAGTTTTTTTTATTTATCGTAGAGACAGACTCACCAAGTTGGCCAAGCTGGTCTCGAACCCCTGGGCTCAGGCAATCCTCTGGCCTCAACTCCCAAAGTGCTGGGATTACAGGCATGAGCCATTTCATCAGGTGAAAGGAAATTTCATTAATTTGATGGTTACCCTCCAAAAAAGCTTGTAGGAAATATGACACTTAATGGTGACATAACAAAGTGTTTCCTCGGATCGGGGACAAGAAAAGGAGGCTCACTTCCCCGCTGTTCAATGTTACAGCAGATAACCTTGCCAAGTAAGGCAAGAATAAAAGGTATGAGGATCTGAAGGAAGAAACAAAAGATTCATTGCTCACAGGTGTTATAACTATTCATATTAGAAACCCTAACCCTAAAAATGGAAAGGAATCTATAGACAAACCAAAATAGATGTTTATGACATTAAAAACCAATGCTGCTGGGCTCGGTGGCTCAGCCTGTAATCCCGCGTTTTGGGAGGCAGAAGTGAGTAGATTGCCTGAGCCCGCGGGTTTGAGACCTGTCTGAGCAACTTGGCGAGACCTCATCTCTACAATAATTCAAAAAATTAGCCAGGCACGGTAAGCACGCACCTGTAGTTCCAGCTACTTGGAAGGCTGAGGCAGAAGGATTGCCGGAGCCCAGCAGGTCGAGGCTGCGGTGGCCGGGAGCGGCCACCGCACTCCAGTCTGGGTGACAGAATGAGACTCCAACTCAAAAAAAAGCAAAAAAACAAAATAAAAACCAATGCACCAAAACTGAGTTGTATTTGTGTTATACCAACTACCAACAGAAAAACAAAATGAATTTAAAATTTTAATTTACAGTTACAACAAATTCATGAATCTGAAATCCACAAAAGATGTATATGGAGAAAACTATTGAGCACTTACTGCAATTTCCTTAATTTTTTTCTTATCTTTTTTCTTTTTTTTTTTTTTTTGAGCTGGAGTCTCACTCTATTGCCTAGACTGGAGGGCAGTGGCACGCTCACAGCCACCGCAGCCTCAACCTGCTGGGCTCCAGTAATCCTTCTGCCTCATTCCAAGTAGCTGGAACTATAGGCATGAGCCACCACGCCCGGCTAATTTTTTTATTTATTGTAGAGGTGAGGTCTCACCAAGTTGCCCAGGCTGGTCTTGAGCCTGTGAGCTCAGGCAATCCTCTCACCTCAGCCTCCCAAATTGCTGGGATTATAGACATGAGCCACCGTGC